TGGAATTCTCGCAGGAACCGTTTCCGACAGAGAAGAGCGCTTGGTCAACGGCTATTCACGGTCCCGATACACCGTTTCGTTCCTGGCAACTGGTGCAGAGGTATATCCAGGGCCTTGTCGAGCGCAATGGATATGAAGACCTTATTTCTTACAATACTACTGTGGAGCGAGTGGAGAAGATAGGGAGTGAATGGAAGGTTACACTCCGAAAGGAAGGAAATAGCAGTGACTACTGGTGGGTAGAGTGGTTCGATGCTGTGGTAGTTGCCAGCGGTCATTATTCGGTCCCTTATATTCCGGCAATAGACGGCCTGGAACAATTCGAGAAGAGTCGCCCTGGTAGCGTCATTCACAGCAAGCATTTTCGGGGTCGCGACTATTTTCGAGGCAAGGTGGGTGTCAACTAAAGTAGGACATGAGCTTCGCATGCAGATGGCGCTGACGACGGTCACAGAAAGTGGTTGTGGTAGGAGCTTCGGTATCTGCCGCTGATATTGCGTACGACCTTACGGAGACAGCCGTTTCTCCTGTCTATGCAGTTACAAAGGGCCACACAGCGAACGTGTATTTCGGGGATGAGGCATTCAATCATCCTCAAATCAGCCGCCAGCCTTCAATCGCGCACATAGAAGGGCGGACAGTACACTTTACCGACGGCAATGTGGTCAAGGACGTTGATAATGTCATTTTTGGGACGGGTTTCAACTGGACACTGCCATTTCTTCCGGACGTTCAAATCCGTAACAACCGCATCCCAGAGCTCTATCTACACGTCGTCTATCAGCGCGATCCCTCACTGCTATTCATAGGAGCTGTTGGTGCCGGGCTAACCTTCAAGATTTTCGAGTGGCAGGCTGTTTTAGCCGCGCGCCTGCTCGCTGGGCGAGCAACCCTTCCACCACTAGCAGAGCAGCAGAAGTGGGAGACTGACCGGATAGGGAAGCGGGGAGACGGCCCCAAATTCACTTTGGTGTTCCCAGATTTCGAAGATTATTTTGAGGCAGTGCGGGCTCTGGCGGGGCCAGGTGAGAAGGATTTGGGACGGCAGCTGCCTCCGTTCCGACGGGAGTGGTTCAAAGCATTCCTCGATGGACATGAGAAGAGGAAATACATGTGGAAGACATTGAATCAAAAGGCTAGGGGAGAGCGAGATGGGCTGCTCAACCAGCGCGATACAGAGCTTCGCGCAAAGTTATGAAGTTCTCTACATTTACAGTGTCAATATGTAAGTTTTCATGATCTACTCGTGGTAAGGCGGAAATGACTGGCTCCTTCTTTTCTCTGAGGCCATAATGGGATTGATAATATGCGTGAGGTGAATGAGGCGAGTGTTATTCATTGAAAGCTCATAAGCACCTCTGGATATAGTAATGCGGTATTAACCTCATCGGAACACTTCCTCAAGAGACTGTGGTGTGCCTTGTGTTGACGAAGATGGAGTACGGAATCTTGTTTCCATCTGAATAACCATCTCAACCAAATACAGGAGGACGAATGATTATGATCTACTTTTAAACGCCTGTGTGCACCTTCAACGCGCCAACAACCGCTTCCCTCTCAAACAGATTCTTTACCCAGACTGCCAAGTGAGGAAATTGGACCTCCACATCCGTGATGAATGCTCCCGCCCAACGATACAACAGAAATAAATAAGCGTCCGCGGCGGTAAACGAATTTCCCATTGCGTAGGTTGTTCCAGCTGCTGCATTTTTGCTCTCTATCAACGTAAAGCTCTGTTGGAGATTCTCGAGCGCTTTGTCTCGAATGGCAGAGTGTATCTTCGGATCGTCAGCGAGTCTTTCGGGCCTGTAAAGTCCGCCGAACGCCTGGCCATGTACCACTCCACCGAGGTAATTAAGCCACTCATAGACACGGACACCGTTCAAAGTTGTTTCTCCAAGGAATTTTCGATCTGGTACCAGGGACAAGATGGCAGTTACAATCGCAGGAACTTTGGTGATGATCTCGTCGTCCATTTTCAATACTGGAACTCGCTTTTTCGGGTTGAGACGCTTGAACTCTTCTTGGAATCGTTCGTCCTCAGACATATCGACTTCGGCAAGAACAAGCTGAAACTCGAGACATGCCTCAATAAGCAAGATTTGCGGCACTATAGAACACGCTTGAGGAGAATACCAGAGGGTCAGTGAAGGTACCGGAGCCATTGCACTGATATAGCAAAGCTTGATGATTAAATAAGATGTAGCGAGACAAATATCGTTGTCGTGATCTACAATTTTACATACTTGCGACAATTCTACGGGCTTTATAATTGAATTTTCGGTCGTCCTAACAAGTCTTTACACCTGCCCGCGGATGTCATGTGCAGGGCGCGAATGTAGTTGAAGCAGCGATTGAAGTTTTGACACAAGAGCCAGCTAAACACAGGATATGCCAAGAAACTTGAAGAAAGTTATGGCGCGTTGTGATTACTGTTTACTGGTGCATCCCTAAGCAACTAGGTTGAACTAACATACTTGCATTAAGGCAGAAGAACTGAGATCAACTAACATCCTAACCCCACTTCAGTTCATAGAATCACATAACAAAAGGGGAAGAAATATTGACATATCGACATGGCCAATCTAACACACAGGCATAGATTTACAAAGACACAGCTCTTTGCGCTCGGCCCAAGGGCCGTCTAGACGAAGCTTGCTATCCCTTCTATAACCCGAATCATCTAAGCTAGATACTGATAAATCCCGGCTCACCCTGGGCGGCACCTTCTCCAGTTTTTTGAAGCAGCTTGCCCGAATAAGCTCCAAGCAAGATTTCTCTGCAAACGTCGTGGGACAGCTGGCCTTCAGACGCAACTTCTAGTTAGCCAACCTGATGTAATTACGAGCCTCATCTGCTTGGCATGGGTGAAATAGATGGCAAGAGCCTTAGTAGGCAGCATATATATACAACACGCTTAGTCGCAACCGGTGAATACTCAAATCTCCGCGGCCTACGTCTGCTTATATCGACACCTGATGCTCCTGGGTAACACAGATTGCCCAGCACTGCGCAGTATGTTATGTATGCGCTGAGATAACATCTTACCATCCCTGGATATTGATTCTGCCCAAGAACTCCATCGCTGGGCAACGCGCAATGTCATACAGTTGGCCGTGACATGCAGTCATCATGAACAAATGGCTCCTCGCCTCGCTCTAATCGCCATCGATTAGTCGCCTCTAACGGCGCTGACAATCCCTCAAACACCCACCCCCATTTCTTCAAAAATCCTTCCGACATCTCCCACCCCGTGATGTCCCAGGGCGGCGACCATGCAATGAGGCCGCGTCGCTCGACCTCGTCGTCGGGAAAGCCCTCGTACAGCCCGCCGCTGCAGTCGGACCATAGGTCGTCCTCATCAAATGTGCCGGCGGCCCGGATCAGGCGGTCCCGTGCCTCGGGACACGGAAACAGATCAATCCAGTCGCCGTGTGGTACCGTTTGTTGAAGGTTTGTGGGTAGGAGTGCTGGAGGAAGTAGTTGAGGTAGGGTCGGGTAGGGTATGACGTGAATGATTTCCTCGTCACAATCGAGCGGCGTGACGAGAATGCCTGATATTAGAGTCCGGTTGACGGCCAGCGCGCGGAGGGCATTGAATTGGAGGAGTGTGATGAGGTGATCTGGACAGAGGGGGAAGACAATGTTAAACTGCTCCTTTCTGGATCTATTTGGCAGCAAAGGATGTTTTGCATTGTATAGTTTTTTGATACGGGATACTGGTATGATAGAGACGGATTGATGCTCATCATCCCAACATTCCACCAACGGTTCTGATTCGATTAATATCTCGGTTGCGGTACTGGATGATCCGGCTTTCTTTGCTAGGGCTTTGCGTTTTCCTGGTAGACTCTTAGTTCCTATAATCGGATGCCCCTTGATCAGGCTGGCCCCGACCCGTGATTTGTTTGCACAAGATAGGGAATAGGTCCTTTCTTACGGTAGGCCCTTGTATTGAGTCTAGTCTGTGCCCGTCGGCGTGCTGCGGCATCGTTAGTCCCAGTCCAGTTGTCTTCTCTGCTTATCGCCTGTACACGTGGTGAGCATTTTCATGTCGTGCTGATGATTGTAGGCGGCCTCTGAGACGAACCTCGGCCAATTGTGGCATTGACGCGAGTTGAATGCGTGGTATTGATAGATCCGCAGCCTGACGCTGACATGTACTGGCCATGATACTAGCGGAAACTGGATTTGCGGTGATAATGATGATGAAATCGGCAATAGATGATCCAAGTTCTCTGGACCGGCCAAGGCGGTTTATGCAGCCTGCTCACAAGGACTCGACAAGTCAGTCTGATGATACTCGGAAGTGGAGGGGATGGATTGATTAAGGTTTAAGAAGGCCGTCTAATAGACTAGACAAGAGCGGGCTAGGTCGTTACGCAGCGGAGGCGCAGAAGCGCAATGACACGATATAATTGGTCACTAAGACACTACAGTATTGAGGCTTACTTGAGCAGGTTTAGCATCATGCAACCTGCTCACATTGTGGATCTAGGCATATCGACCGCGGGGATATCAACCTCCAGCATCACCAGACAGTAATGCATCCACCACTTTCAGTGTTACTGAATGACAAACGCAAAGAGCATTATGGTAAGAATTAGAGTGGACCGTAAGTTAGAGCGTTCCTGAGGTAGTCTAGCTGAAAGATTCGGCACTGAGAACTTTGCCCCCACGCCTCATGCAGATAGCTCACCCACCATCAATTTGATATGTCAGAGTTACAAGTAGTAATTATGATTAGCTCAAGGCGCCAAATGCAGCTTGCTCACAAAATCTGAGGCTGTGCTTGAAATAGCATTCAGGATAGAAATGCTTCGGTCACTCTTCAATATAGTTTGAGAGCAATATAAAAAAGGCTGTAGCCTTGGCCTTAATTTTGTAACATCCTTTCGTTGAACTAAAACTCGTCGAACACACTCCTAAAATATCGACTGATCTATTTGTTGGCGCTGCTTGCATCTTCACATATCAGCTCTAGTATCAGTTTTCTGAAAATGACTTTCCATCCTGACACTCTCCCTAATCTCAAGGGGAAAGTTTTCATAGTTACGGGTGGGAATTCCGGCATGTAAGCCTCCACTGTTTCGTCTCTGCTCCCACTAAGAAGCGTAGATAGCTAACATCACCAAACAACAGAGGCTACTACACAGTGGCTCACTTAGCAGAACACGGCGCTCACGTTTACATGGGCGTCCGCGCCACAGACAAGGGCGCGGCAGCCATCGCCAACATCAAGAAGACGTATCCATCAGCCAAGAACATCGACCTCTTGCAGATGGATCTCATGGATCTCACCAGTGTTGTCGCAGCTGCCAGACGATTTCTCACTCTTGAAACAGCTCTCCACGGCCTGGTTAACAACGCAGGCATAATGGCGACGCCCTTCGAGATCACCAAAGACGGCCACGAGGCCCAGTGGCAGACCAACTACCTATCGCACTGGGTCTTAACCGAGCAGCTGCTTCCCCTGATGCTGCGGACCGCCAAGACGCTTTCTCCTGGCAGCGTGCGCATAGTGAATCTCACTTCGTCGGGTCACCTGGGCGCACCCAAGGGTGGTATCAACTTCAATGACCTATCGCTCAAGGATGGCAGCACATGGACGCGGTACGGTCAGAGCAAGCTCGCCAACGTCTTGCACACCAAGACCCTGCACAAGATGTACGGCCCCGGCTCCCCAAGTGCGCGAAAGGGGGAGGGTGAAATTTGGCTTTCGTCTGTGCATCCAGGTATGGTCGAGACGAACATTGCCGCAGGGGTGGGGGATTCGGGTTCGGGTATGATGAGTATTCTCTCGGTCTACCGCATGTTCGGATTGATATGGTCTCCCGACAAGGGGTCGTGGAACAGTCTGTTCTGTGTGGCGAGTCGGGAGATGAAGGCGGAGCAGAGCGGCGGATATTTCGAAATCTTCAAGCGCTTTGGAGAGCCGAGGTGGCAGAGCGGTGCAGCTAAGGATGAGAAGCTTGCGGAGAGGCTGGATGAATGGACTAGGGAGGTGATGAGGACTGAAGGGTGGGTTTGATAATGGCGCCAAATGGATCTGTTCTGTTGGATATACTCACTAGTTTTCCTGTTTCATAGATAGTGATCACATTGCTTTCGAGCTGTTTGGTGTCTAGATTTAGAGGCCATTGGTCAACAACAACACCTCAAGGCCTATTCTCCAATAGTTTGCGTGACAGCCTTCATCCATTAATGTTTAATTTTCTTTAGAAGTAATTAGCGAGCACGAGACGGACTTGCAATCTTTCAAAATTCCACAGAATCATACATAATTTCCATTGGGTAAATCACACTAAACCGCTATGTAGACGTCACTGCGAAATTTTAAGTGTGGAAGAAACAGCCTATGATGCTCATTATATCTAGGTAGTGAGCTGAGCATATAGATTTCCTGCTTGTGGCCACTTGTTCTGCTTATGATTGGTCTGTAGGGTACTTCATTGGCCGGCTTCTTCCCCGAAAGCCGGAGCACTAGGCCGAACCGGCATGCGGGGGGCATTAGCACGCCGAACTCGGTGCGGAGGAATGCAACCTTGGCTACGGCGGCGATGCTCCGGTTGTGCATTGACATTGCAGAGGATACATAGCAATTGATGAAAACGCTTTTATTGTTCTACTGCAGTCATTTGTGCCCTGTAGTGCTGCTCGAGATCATGGATGATCGATGACATGAAAATATCTCGCGGCCGATCACAGTAAAGTGGATATGTGTGGCTTTTGGTCAACACTTAGTTAACTTATGTCTATTCTCGAGATGTGCCACACGATGACTGTGTGACTGTGTTGTTTGTCGTGTTCGGATACTCATCTAAGGGCCCTCTTAACATCATCTTATTAACCGGGAACGTACGCAAGAACAGCGGGGCCTGCAAAACGCACAGTTACAACGTGATCACGCCACTACATGGCGACGGCGACAGTCACCCTGTCACACCGGTGCGGAAAACTACCTGCTCGCCGGAGGGATACAGGCTCTCCCTAGCTGCAAGAAGGCAGAACAGGTAACCAAGAACCGGCAGGTGGATTGCGGACGCACGTACGGGTGGTCTCGATACTTTATCACTGGGACCTTAGCCGATGTTGATCACCGGGGCTCCACCAAGGGGTCCGGTGCCGGTGGACCTGTCCACCGCACGCAACCCCTAGGGCAAATGGCAAAGGTAGCCACTGCAAACTTTGCCGTGTCGGTTACAACAATCCTCCAAACAACAAAGAATGGTTTTTACTTCACGAGTGGGCTGTTTTCTTCGATGACAAGTGAAGTGGAAGTTGTCGTATGTATCTCTATACTTATAAAGGCTTTTGCTAGTTTCCCGCTGTCTCATACTATTGTTTGATCGCGTGATCTTTTCTATTTTGTCATCCTGTGTTCACAATGGGTTTCGGACGAGCCAAGGAAGACCGGCCGACGCCTCCCGAGGTCTACAACTGGAGGATATACGCCATCTCAATATGCGCAACTCTAGGTATGTATCCAATGCCTGAATTCGATCCCTTGAAGCCACCCATAGCATGATGTGTTGACGTGTATCCTCTCAGGGTCGTGGATGTTTGGGTATAACAATGCTGTGATAGGTGGTGTCATGGTGCTGCCCGCTTTCGAACGTGACTTTGCTCTTCCTCCCACTGGGACCTTCAAATACACAACCATCACGGCAAACATTGTCTCCCTCCTGCAGGTTGGTGCCATTGTAGGGAGTCTTATGGTGTTTCCAATCTTGAAGTATCTGGGAAGAAGAACAGCCCTTGGGATATCTGGAGTCGTATTCTTCGCAGGCGCCACTATGCAGGCAAGCCTTACCTCGCCTTCTCTGAGGAACAGTGTGTTGGTCCCTTGTTCCATGATCTGACCGTGATCCTAGACGTTTTCTCAAGGCTCCTTGCCATTGATGTATGCTGGTAGAACACTAAGCGGTGTCGGTCTTGGTTTCGTGACTGTTTCCGTTCCCACCTACATCGGCGAGCTCGCGCCTCCAGCCATCAGAGGATCCCTTATTGGCCTCTATGAAATCAACAATCAACTTTCGTCTCTATTTGGCTTCTGGGTGAGCTACTTCACGATCATTGGTGTCCCAGATCACCAGTCTCGCCAATGGCAAATCCCTCTCGCGATGCAGATGATCCCGGCTGCACTGCTGTGCATCGCCGCATATCTCCTGCCCGAGTCACCTAGATGGCTCATTGAACATGGCCGTGTTGATCGAGCCCGTCGAATTCTTTCATTTATTAGACATCTCAACCCAGACCACGAGTACATCTCTTTTGAGGTCGACAAGCTAGAGGAAGCTTTGATTCGACAGCGACTAATGCGGGAGAAGGAGGATAGATGGCAAATTTTGAGAGAGCTGACATGGCCAGGAAATCGGAACCGAATCATAATTGGCTGCACCATAATGTGGTCAAGTAATATGACTGGTACCATGGGTATTAATCAGTACGCGCCATCCATTTTCCAGTCGATTGGCATTTATGGCACCACGAGACATCTCTTCCTCAGTGGATTCTACTCTTTATCCAGAGTCATCACTACAATTCTTAGTCTTGTCTTCTTCATCGATATGACTGGTCGACGTAAACTACTTCTGATAGCTAGCGTTGGCATCGTCATCTCGCTGACCTACATCGGCGCCTTCAATACGGCTACTGTTGGTCGAGCTAGCAAGGGCGCCGGGGGCTGGGTCTCATTAGCCGCCATTTATACATTTGCTGTAAGTGCAACCAAAGAACACCCAATTCTTTTAACTTGAGGCTTAGCAATATCAGATATCATTTTCTGTTGGTTGGAATGGTGTCCCATGGGTCTACTGTGCCGAAATCTTTCCAAGCAGGATCAAGGACATCGGAGTGTGCCTCACCACCTGGAATCAATGGCTCGGCCAATTCACCATCTCCCGAATTACCCCCTACATGGTCGCTGCCACAGCGAGTGGAAACGTCATGTTCTTCGTTTGTGCCGGATGTACCTTTGCGTCCGCTGTATTCGTTTACTTCTTCCTTCCTGAGACCAAAGGCAAAACGCTCGAAGACATGGACGAGATATTTGGTACGCCTTACAAAGGTGGCTCACAGGGCCCTATGATGTCACAGCCAATTATCGAAGAACTGGTGAGAGTCCCCACTGGAGTTTAGCTTCCTGATGATATAAAGATTGATTCTCATGGGGGGAGAAAACTAAACGCAAAACACGAAATTCTGTCCCATTCTACCTGGGGAACTTTAGGTTCTTTAGCTTCGGTCAGGGCGTTGGATAATTGATACATAAGAAATCACTGCATTTTCTAAAAGCGGCATTTGCAAAATAATAAAGACTATCATGATATACTAGCCTCACTTTTTTAAATCCTCAACGGTGCACTTATGCTATTCTATAGCTATACTTTGTGTTAGTCAGGCTAAAGTAGTTGTCACTGCTGGGACATGATGCTCACCAGTCTGAGCTTCGGGATTGGACCACGCGACAAAACGCTCCTCCTCTTCGGAACTACCTGCATTGTTTGAAAAGCGATACGTATATGTCTCTCATTTATTGGCTCTCTTTTACTAGTTGGCCCCAGGAAAAGCCCATCCAGGGTTCCCTGCTGCTCATTGCTGTTGGTCATCTGCGAGTTGGCCGTATCGACCTGCTGAAGTGAATCAGCCTTCTGGATTTCGAGAGCTTTGATCGTTAATCTCTGGACCATCTCAGACGTAAGATAGCCAAGGATGTCTAACGAGTCATCATTCGGTTTGTGCTCTGCGATAACTCCCAGGCCGGACCATTCTCGAAATCGTTTGCTCTTACGCCAAGTGAACGATGCATGACGATACTCCGACCAGGTCTTATACTCTTCAACAGTCATATCACGCGTTCGAGCGTCATTTCGACGAAGCACCTCTAGTGTATCTTTGTTCGTTGCACTCTCCACCGTGTCGTCACGACGACTGTCGGGAATCTGTACCGAGAAAAATGACCCTATATCCCATGGCAGATTCACACTCGGTACATTGGCACGATTTGTAGATGTATCTTCTGTCTGAGCGACATCTTCATCGTCAATGAATCCTTCGTTGGCAAGAGCGTCTTTTTCATCGGTGTCTTTGACGGTTTTACGGATGGCTTTCCAAGCGAGGAAATTGCGCACGCGCTCGACCCGAGGAGTATCATGTCGTATTTGAAAGATCAAGTCATCGTTGGAGAAGACGCGAGAACCACGTCGAGCGGCTAGTTCGTTTGCAGTACGCAACTCTCTTGAGTTAGATCATGAAGAGACAGGGATAATGGCATATATCTTACCATGTAGACAACCTGATCACGGATGATACCTTCGATCATGGCGACAGTTTGAGTAGAAGTCTCCTGGTTCTCACCGGCTATGTACATCATCTTGCACCAAGCTGGTCATTTGAATTGCACACTACGACCTAACGGACGATGTACAAACACTCACCTGTTGGATTTCTTGCTTGAACAGTGGCGTCGGCTGCGTGGCCATGGTCATGAAGATGAAAGCCGAAGAAAAGGCAACAGGCAATGGACAAGTAAATTGCTAATACAGAAAGCATGTAGCATTCCATGGGCATTTCGACAAATCTAGAAATCATGCTTGTGCTTTTAATACTTCAATGCTTTTATATACACGAGATATCACAAGAAATTGGTGGTACGGTGTGAATAGACAAGCAGTGACACTGTACGCTTGTCATGGAGAAGCTTGGGCTGTCAAACAGCCCCATTAATGGGGGGGAACGGGAATACTTCGATAAAATTGACGACTTAGCAACCCGAACCCACGGCCTAGACGCTATGATTGGCTCTAATGCTTACACGCCACAAATAACCTTGGAATTCGTCCTACCCCCATGCGCTTACACTGTGTGTCTTACATGGCTTAGTCTTTGACCGGCATCTCTTCGGCGTCTTGGTGCCCTCATGTTTTGTCCCTATAAGGTATGCGTAGTGCCACGCAAGCGTAAGTGAGGCTAGAAGGTAAAGTATAATTCATAAAACTAATGATACAGTTGCGAAGCTTAGAGCAAGTAACAAAAAGGTTACAATATAATAGTGTCGAGAGATCCTTGTGCGGTGATCATCCAGTCATAGAGTTGACCATTATGCATTGGCATATGCAGTTCCGAG